GGTGGTTCAAAGATGGTAAAAAGTTTCGATGAGACCCTAAGACAAAAGTTGTTCAATTTATTTTTATGTATAACATAGTTTTTTTTTGGATTTTTTTTTTTTTTTTTTTTTTTGCTAAGAACTTTCCTTGTCTTTGCACGGTCGGACCGTCAGAGAAAATAGGGTGACCCGAACGGCCTGGCCGGTAGCATAACTTTTTACTTTTTTTTTCACTTTATTGCAGGCCTAAAAAAATTATTATTTTTGAAAAAAAAATAATGAGTTTTGTATTAGAAGTACACATCTGTGAATTTGAAGATCATTTGGTTGTGCCAAAAAAAAAAAACAATCACTAAAGATAGCAGTGTCGAAAACGTGCTCGCTCACTCAGTAATTTTGATTTTTTTTTATAGTTTTATTTTCTGTATTTTATGTTTATTTCAAATTTGGTAAGGATTTTTATGTAATGCTTGGGAAAGTATTATTTATTTTATTTTTTTCATAACATATCGGTTTTTTGTTTTTTTTCTAGGCTACGAGAGTGATCCGGGTCCACTTGTCGGCCGGGGCCAAAAAAAATAAAATAATAAAATAATAAAAAATCTAGGTTACCAACCGGGCCGCCCGGAACTGTCGGCAGCCCGTGCAGGGACCTTCCCAGGGAAAATCCCAACCAAAAAAAAAAAAAAAAAAAAAAAAAAAAAAGACTATGTTATGCAAAAAAATAAACTAAACAACTTTTGCCTCAGGGTCACGTCAAAATTCTTCAGCAAATTTAGAATAAAAATTAAAATGTTAAAATAATTTTTTTTATTATTTTTTTTTTTTTTTGGCCCGGCTGGGCAAGTGATCACGGGCCACTCCGGTAGCCTAGTAAAAAATATTTTCTTTATTAAATTTTTTATTTAAAATTTAATAAAGAATTTTGATGTGACTCTTAGGCAAAAGTTGTTCATTCTATTTTTCTGCATAACATAATTTTCTTTCGGAGTTTTTTTTTTTTTTTTTTTTTTTATGGGACCTTTTCTAGTTTTTGCATGGCTGCTATTGATGGTCTTATGAGAGGGATATATTTTTTTTAATTTATTTTTGGCCCAGCCAGACAAGTGGTATCGGGCCAATCTGGTAGCCTAATCTTTTATATAATATATTTTAAAAAATAAAAATTATTTATAAAAATATTATTTAAAAATAGTTTTTTGTCAGATTCGTAAAAAAAATATTTTTCGTTTCGAATTTTAATGTTTACNGGATATATTTTTTTTAATTTATTTTTGGCCCAGCCAGACAAGTGGTATCGGGCCAATCTGGTAGCCTAATCTTTTATATAATATATTTTAAAAAATAAAAATTATTTATAAAAATATTATTTAAAAATAGTTTTTTGTCAGATTCGTAAAAAAAATATTTTTCGTTTCGAATTTTAATGTTTACCATATACATAGACTGTGTAGCACACCAAACATTTTCGCAGCTTTTTCGAACGTCTGCACATGTTCGGGTGTTCGGCCGAACGCCACCTGGACGTGTTTGGCGAACATATTAAAAAAAAAAAAAAAAAAAAACTATTTTTGGTTTTTGATTTTTAACTCGAGTTTGGTTACGAATTTAAGCATATCGCCAAGACAAAAGTTGTTTGTATTATTATTTTACATCACAAATATGTTTTTCATATTTTTTTGAGAACGTTTTTTTTTTTTTTTTTAATATTTTTATTTTGCGTTCGACGAGTTTCGGCGCTCGTTCGCGTTCGGTCCCGAACGTTTGGGTTCGGTCACCGAACCCGAACACAATGCTACACAGTATATAGAGAAGAGAGACAAAGAAAAAGGTAAAAAAAATAATTTTATTTTTATATTTTTTTTATTCTGTTGCGGCTTCGTTTAAGTGAACAAACAGTTAAGGTTGAGTTTGATAATTGAAACAAAAAAAAACAAAGCGATGTCAAGGGCTACAATTACGAAGAGGGAAAATAAATCTATGGAAAGTTTCATGTAACAAAGTATAGTGAATCTTATAACAAACTAATATGAAGTGATAGAAACTTCGTTGTTATTTAAAGCGAATGAGGTGATAAAACTTTGTTATGGGGAAAAAAATGAATTTGTTGGCTTAGAATGGCTCGACCTCCATTTGCCATTTTAAGGTTGAATGCATGCGTGTGATAAACGTGTTATGAATATGTCATTCATCTAATTTCAAAATGACGGACTCCAAATATCTCGAATTATACAAGGCAATTCCATGTTGAATTTTTTGAATAAATTCAAGTGTTATTCCGTGAGTGGTTTGTCCTCCTGCTCTTTTTGAAACGGAGAGTGCGGTTTGTTCATCAACTGGTTGAGCGGGGTGAAAGCATTGGAGGTTTTTCAACTACTATTATTGAGATTAGTCACAATGTCTTTGGCTTATTGGACTGAGCCAGCATCCTTTTGAATGCACGTTAGCTTTATAGGAGTAGAAGGAAGTGAGGTGTTGATAAAAACGATTGCCTCTATCCAGTGACCTCACTCTGTTGGTAAGGTTCGCAAGTGGCATTTAGGAGGTCATGGGTTTGAATCCCCATTGACCTCATGTACGTTCGTAGGTATGTTTGGTGCCCATGACCTAGAGATAGACCATTAGATCCCCCGATCGACATCGAGCAGTCTGCCCGCATTTGTAGGGGAGGGGATCCGAGGGTAGGCATAGGGATTAGTCCTGTTGGCATGGTCCCTGACACTATCGGCTGTCCCCTGGCTGGTATTGCCCACCTGCAGGTCAGGAGCAGCCCCCGCATGTTTTCTCGCGAACACGATTTTGGCTGCTATGGGTTCCCCGCATGACTGTAATAGTAGTGGTAGGTAGGTAGTGTGAGGTGAAATTCAGAGACAATGTAGCTTACAAAGAAAAAAAAAAGAAAACTACGACGCAGTCAGGGTTTGAGTTTAAAAATGCACTTGAGGCAAAAGGGCCTGTAATGGTGAATGTATATAACCTAGGTTTTGAGTCCGGTGGGGTCACGTGGGGGTGTGTTGTGTTCGGGGGAATGCCTGAAGTGCATTTTCAAACTGTTTTTGTGACTGGGCCGAAGTTACCCCCCCAAAAAAAGTGATTGCCTCCCTTGTTCCTTGGTCCCATAGAGAGGGGTGAGGTGATTGAATGGTGGTGGATGTAGGGGCATTTGTAGTGGGATGGTATCCTATTTCATTGGGTGCTGGACAGAGGTATATGTGTCTGGATGCCCCAATTGGCGTGCGAAGAGCTACAGGGACGGGGCTCAGCCTGGGTTCGCACGGACGCCTATCGCACCTTGATTGACACGTGGGAAAAAGTTGGAGGGGGCTTATTCCCTCCCCGCCGAAAGTGAGCGCTGAGTCGATTCGCCCCTGCGGGGTGCTCCGAGGACAGGGGCTCCGGTCCTTCATTCATCGTACTCTTTTTGGAAAGGCGCCGTGGAACCCGAAGCGCTGTCCTTGCTGCAAGGCCTCGGATATAGGCGTTGAGGTCTTTCGATTTGCCTCTTCTCGATGCCCCGGCATCGGTGGGTTGCTGGTGCGGCAGTGTAGTCAAGGTAGTGGGGAGGGCGGCGCCGCCATAGCGTGCGGAACGAGCTGCAACGATGAGTCACCGTAAGTTCGAGCATCCTCGCCATGGCTCCCTGGGCTTCTTGCCCAGGAAGCGAAGCAAGCGACATAGGGGAAAGGTGAAGTCGTTCCCGAGGGATGACCCGAAGAAGAAGCCGCATTTGACGGCCTTTCTAGGGTACAAGGCCGGAATGACTCATATCATGCGAGAGGTGGACAAGGCGGGATCGAAGCTCCACAAGAAGGAGACATGCGAGGCTGTGACTGTCATCGAGACGCCGCCGATGCTGGTCGTTGGTCTGACGGGCTACATCATGACTCCTCGAGGGCTTCGGTCGTTGGTGACTGTCTGGGCTCAGCATCTTAGCAAGGATCTTCTCCGAAGATTCTATAAGAATTGGTACAAGTGCAAGAAGAAGGCGTTCTCCAAGTACGCACAGAAGTACGACACTGCCGAGGGGAAGAAGGACTTCCAAGCGCAGCTTGAGAAGCTGAAGAAGTATTGCACTGTCATCCGCGTTCTCGCCCACACGCAGGTGCGCAAGTGTCCGGGCATCGGACAGAAAAAGGCTCATCTTATGGAGATCCAAATCAACGGCGGAACGCCGGCGGAGAAGGTGGATTTCGGCGTTAGCTACTTCGAGAAGGCTGTTCCCATCTCCGCTGTTTTCGGGAAGGACGAGATGATTGATTGCATCGGAGTTACCAAGGGTCATGGACACGAGGGCGTGGTAACCAGATGGGGAGTGACTCGTCTTCCCAGAAAGACCCATCGTGGTCTGCGAAAGGTCGCTTGTATTGGGGCATGGCATCCCGCGCGTGTTCCGTACACTGTGGCGAGACCCGGTCAGCGAGGTTATCATCACAGGACGGAGATGAATAAGAAGATTTACAAGATCGGTGTGGCTGGTGACGAATCTCACAAGGCGATGACGGAGTACGATCGCACGGACAAGGATATCACGCCGATGGGAGGTTTCCCGCACTATGGTATTGTGAAGGAGGACTACATTATGATAAAGGGTTGCTGCATGGGCGCGAAGAAGCGTGTAATTACTCTCCGCAAGTCACTCTTCCCTCAAGTGACTCGTACGGCGATGGAGCAAATCAGCCTCAAGTTCATCGATACCTCGTCCAAGTTCGGCCATGGGCGCTACCAGACGACTGCGGAGAAACAGAAGATTTTTGGCAAAGTCAAAGCCAAGTAAAAGAAAAAGTGTTTAGTGCTATTGCAACGGGAGAGGCGAAATATTTTCGGCGATTTGATTGTGAGCTCGTGCGAGGAAGGCGTTTTTCGGCCTTGAGTGATGGTTTTGTATTGACCGATCGGTGGGGTGTTTTCTTGAAGGCGGAGGATGTTGGATTCAGCCTGCCGTATAATGATTACCGACTGTCGATTCTTCTCTTTCTCGAGCTCTCTAGCATCTCTGAACTTTGTTCTCCGTCCTTTCCTTCTCTTCTTCTCTCCACTGTTTGCTTTTCTCCTTTCTTTAACTTCTCTCATATCTCTTCTCTCTTCGCTCGTTGTTGCAACGGGAAACTACGTGGCGGTCAGAAAAAGAGTTTGAAATTACACTTTGGGCAAGAAGCATTTTTGAATTGCACTGCGGGCAATGTATACAAGCTAACTTCCCGGTCAGGTATGTTTACGTGGGGGTGTGTTGTGATCGGGGCAGTACCCGAAGTGCAATTTCAAACTGTTTTTGTGACTGTAATGAAGTTACCCCTTCTTCTTTCTCTCTTCTGTGTTCTCTCTTCTATCCTCTGTTTCCTTTCGTCTTGTATTCTTTTCTCTTTCCTTTCTTCTTCATGTCTTTTGTGATCTCTCGTCTCTCCTCTCCTCTGTCTTCTCTCGTCTTTTATTCTTCTCTTTCCTCTCTTGTTCATGTCTCGTCTTCTCTCGTCCCTCTCTCTCTTTCCTCGTTTCTCTCTCTCGAGTATCTTTTGATTCCTAGTCCCCTCGTTTATCTCGTCTCTCTTCTCTCTTGTCTCTACTTCTGCGGTCTTTTCTCTCGTCCCCTTCTCCTGTCAACCCTATGTTGATGTTGATGGATTCTTCCGCATACCGATCTGTCATTTCCCGCCATTTCCTCTCCTCTCATCTCCTTTTAACGAGTGAGTCAGGTGTTGATGTGTCAAATTTTTCCTCCATCCTCTCGCTGGTATACACCTGTTTTTTTTCCGGGGGATGATGCATGTTTTGTGAAACATAAACCAAACTTACCGATCAAACGGATGGACAGCAAGTTTGGGCAGCATTCATGGGTTTCGTCTGCATGGGTAAGTTGTCGAATGGTAAGCGAATGTTTCTGTTTTGTTTTCGTTTTCAGGTGTGTTCTGTTTCTGTTTTGTTTCCGATTTCAGGTATGTTGTATGCTTTTTTTTGGTTTCCGTTTTCAGGTATGTTGTATGTTTCTGTTTTGTTTCCGTTTTCAGGTATGTTGTATGTTTCTGTTTTGTTTCCGTTTTCAGTTATGTTGTATGTTTCTGTTTTGTTTCCGTTTTCAGTTATGTTGTATGTTTCTGTTTTGTTTCCGTTTTCAGGTATGTTGTATGCTTGTTTTGTTTACGTTTTCAGGTATGTTGTTGTTGTATGTTGCGATCGTCCTCTTTTGGTTCACTTGCGGTATCATGGTTATGAAAAGGAAGAATGTGGAAGTGGTAATTAATCATTCGATGATAAATTATTTTGTCAAAATTTCTCAGTTAGGGATCTCTACTTCTATGTATTGTTTATGAAAAGGAAGAATGTGGAAGTGGTAATCAATCATTCGATGATAAATTATTTTGTCAAAATTTTTAGTTAGGGATCTCTTCTTTTATGTATTGTTTTTGTATCCGTCTGTCATTCACGGCTGTAGAGGCGCACTGCGATGGCTGGCAATGGTGTGGAAATGGCCTTTCAGGAACGCTGGGTAAAAATGACCCGGAACGTTTCGTTCTTAACGGAGGTGGTTCTCGATCGTCTGAGTGTTTTTTTTTAAATCTTTGTGTCAATCATGAGGTATCGTTCGAAGTGTTTGCAGTGTAGGTGCAACACGACGGTGTTTGAGAGTAGGGCATTGCGGCTTTGCTCACGCTCAGTTGAGGGGATTCTAAATATGCTGAGTTTGACGAGATCATCCTCTTCCGGCTTCCCCCGGAAATAACGGATATGAGTTGTAAACGAATACAACGCATTCGTTGTGTTGTATTCGTGTAGCGCATATTCGTTATGTTCGAATGGACTGCAGCCAAGCTTATGGCCACAAGGTGGCCGGGCCCAGGCTGAGTAGCGTCAGGTCTGGCCCGTGGCGGAGGGCCCCGGAAACAGGAGAAAATGTGTTGTTGATTCTTTCCATGTTTAGCTGAAGATTCGTTAGTCTATTCCCACTTACGGGCTCCATCCACTTACCCAATGTGCGATATGAGAAAGAATCTTCCAGTGGAACATGGCCATTTCCTTGGCCGCTTTATGCTCCCACTTCCTTCGCCGCTTCACGCTGCCACTTCCTTGGTCGCGCGTCGTCAGACAGGGCAGGAGACAACGAATCAGAGCGCAGCTCACGCACACGCACACACACAGAGAGAGAGAGAGAGAGAGAGAGAGAGAGAGAGAGAGAGAGAGAGAGAGAGAGAGAGGCGCTACAGGTGAGTTCGGTTTTAGAAATCCGATTAGAACGAACATGCTTTTAATTCGAATACAACGAAAGTGGGTTGTATTGGAATTGTTGTCCTTACGTTTGTGAAAAAGGTACCGACTTTCGAGTTGTTTGGAAAGCTCAAATACAATGCATATGCGTTATTTGGGGGAAGATGGTAGCCATCCATTTTGCAAGTATGAATCTGACAAGTCTGGGCATCGCATATTAATAACGGGGACTTGAGGTATCGTATACAGTAGCCGAGGAGATTAGGTTCCCATCCTGTCATCCCGAGTAGATTGAATTACTATTATCCTGAGTTGATTAGGTTTACTGTTCTCAGTCGATTTGGTTATTGTTTCGACTATGTTAGGTTATCATTCTGAATGTAGATTATATTGTCATTAGATTATTATCCTGATTTGATTAGGTTTACTGTTCTCAGTCGATTTGTTTTTATTCGAGTATATTAGGTTATCATACCGGGTGATCTTTTCTCCTGACGGGTCACGTTGGCAGTGTGTATACGGGGAAAAGGATGTGTTTGGAGATGAAGAATGCGTAATGAGCGTTTATGTGCCAACGTGACACCTGCCGCTCATCTGTAATCCACCGCCTCAACCCGACTCTGGCAGACTGACACCGAGCGCACCCCCGTCCACGCGTGAATCTTGCCCAGTCTTAACGGAACGGGAAGTAACGGTACACAGAGCGGAAGAGCTGTCGACCGAGCGAGCACAAGTCTCTCGCTCTCTCTCTCTCCGTTTTCCATTCTTTCTCTTATTCTTGCATTTGTTTTTTGCTTTTCTTCGTCTAGGTTCTCGTTCTTGTGTTTTCGCTTCCGTCATTTTTTTTTCCAGTTTGCCCCAAAACATGGTCGTGGCTCATTCCCTTTGAGGAAACGTTGGGTTTGAACTCTTTTGATGTTGTTTATTCGATTACAGATAGTGTCACACAACCGCACAGTGAAGTAAACCGAAGGCAAGGCGTCACGACAGTATGTACTGTTGGACTGCTTCAACCAATTCATCAGGCTCGTTGAGTCCATGTGCTGTTGATGATGCCCTTTTGTGCTCTTTTGTTTTCTCACATGAGATGATCGTTTCAACTGGGGCGTCAACACACGGACAAAATATGTATTATGTACACAAGGAGTTTTTGTCAACGTCGATGAACTTAGGAAATCTACTGTGGAATCAAGAACTGTGTAAAGCCTACCTACCTTCTTCCCCCGAATACAACGTACGGTCATTATAGCTGTATTTGAGGCATCTTTCAGTCTAGATACAGCTATAATGACCGTACGTTGTATTCGGGGGAAGGAGGTAGGTCATATTCTCAGGATGTTCTAGAAAGCTGAAACTCTGAAAAGCTGAGTGTAGCGATTAGTCATCCAAGCAAACAATCATGGCTATCCTGGAAATACTACCGAGGCTTCACGTCGTTATTTGTGATTCCACGGTTTTTTTTTTCTCTTTTTTTCCACGGTATATTTCCTAAATTTACCGACCATGGCAAAAATTGTAAGTTTTTTAACGTCCTCTACAGTGCAAAAAAAAAAAAACCCTAATTTACATGTTTTGTCCATGTGGTGACGCCCTTGTTGAGACTATCGTCGTATGTGAGAGTTATGCTGTTGGGCGGTCATCATCTCACTATCTCCGTATCTTATCCTACATCGAGATCCCTCCCATCCACCATCTCCATATGAGCACGGCAGGCGCCGGTTGCTTTTTTTTTTTTTCCAAAAAAGAGCACCTGGGGTAAGAGTGTTCAATTGTTTCTCTGGACTCTGTGTGGAAGTTCTCTCCCTCTTTCTTTGTTCTCTCTCCCTGAGCACGCTCACCACCAGATTCAGCCGACTTTGTTTTTCCCCCTAAAAAGAGCACCTGGGGTAAGAGTGTGCAATTGTTTCTCTGGACTCTGTGTGGAAGTTCTCTTTCTCTCTTTCTTTATTCTGTCTCCCTGAGCACGCTCACCACCAGATTCAGCCGACTACCTCTTTCGGTCGATAGATAGGACTGTTTCTTTCTCTCACCATCAGATTTAGCCGACTCGCTCTTACCCCCCATACATAACCTCTCTCTCTCTCCCCCTCCCTGCTCCCCCCGCCCCTTTCCCTCCCTGCCCCCCCCCCCATGTGCTCACTATCTTCTCCCTGATTTTCAACTGCCAAGATCTGTTTCTCTTTCGGGTACTGACGTCATTTTCCCAGGTTTCTTTCGACTATCGAGTTGTACATTCTGATGTGATCGTGTAGAGGGAGGGCTTCAAGACAGAGACAATCAGAGCGTATGGAAAGGGTGCAATGAGAAAAAGATGTCAGTCAGGAACTGGAAGTTTTGAAACTGGTTGGTATACTAGCCATGCACATGGAGGGAGAAAGCTCTGATGGACATGGATGGATATTGTGGTGATATTCATTCGCCGGTGCTGCGATGTCCGGACCGTATTCGGCGTATTTCTGTGATGATACATGTGTCATTGAATGATGCCAATGTCCTGCTGTAAAAAAAAGAAAGGAAAGACGAACAACTCGGGATGGTAGAACGAGGTGCGAAGCTGGAGTCGGTGGTGACATTTAATGAAGAAGAGATCATGGACCAACAGTAGAACAGCATATGAGAGTCGTTTTTTGGCCTTCTTCTCGACCTTAGCGAGGTTTGCTGAGGGCACCAGTACTCTCAGGGAGCCATGGGAAAGGCTATCTGAGAGCCTGGTTTACTGGCACGGAGTGTCAAGACTACAACGGGTGTTCAAGCCTGTGTAGACACCCTAACTAGGGACTGTACATTAGTATTCTTGTATAGCCCCCTAAAATTTCTGAGAAGTACGTTATTATGTCGATTGCAGTCGTGGGAATAATATCGTTTTTGTACATTGCCTTTTCGGAGTACTATATGTTTTTTTGTACATTGGTTTTCTCGGAGTACTATCTGCATACGGCCGCTACTGTAGGGATAGTATGTAAATGCCTGGTATTACCAAACTGTAGTTCGGGTTAGCCAGCCTAGGCAGCTTGCTGTGAAGGCAGCATTGGAATTGGAACCTTCAAATTTGTTCGGCGGTAAGTTAGGGCCCGTAGCCGAAGGCACGCTGTGGTGCGTAGTCGGATGTCAGTTCATACCCGATGGCCGTGAAGTGTACTGGCGGGAAAAGAATGAAAGTCCAAAGCCGTGCAATTCGAATTTCCATGTATGACGGGTGAGCATTTTACAGACCGGTAGCTGATGCGTACATAGTGGCAGTTGTCGTGAATAGCATCGACTTTGTGATAGTAGGTGGAGTAGGGTCCAGCCTGGACGCCCGTGCTTGTTTAAGTCCTATTCGACTGCGGGTGGCACACAGGTACCGATCCGGGCGCGGAAATTGATAGCGGGATTGGAAAGAAATATTGAGAAATAGCTATCGGCCCGTTTCGCCTGTGATTTGGAATTTGTAATACGTGATTTGCTGGTAGCACCTAGAATTTCCGTATTTCCCCAGAAATTCCCAGTCGTCTTCTACTGGTCAGTGCCCGCCCTTCTTTAGGCGGGAAAAAGCTTCCAACGACGCGGACAAATTTCAAATTAGTGCGGCAGTATCCCGTAACTGACTACCGAGTAGGATGACAACGCTGCGTGGAGAGTTTAGGCATAGGTAGTCTTTTCTGTATTAATTTGAGGGCAAGGCCATCGGCCCTCATTTTCTGTATTAATTTGAGGGCAAGGCCATCGGCCCTCATTGCTCAGTGGCAGGACAAGTAGGTGGATGCCGTAAGGCGGATCCGAGGTGAAGGCCTCTGACGAGTGCCAGGTGCGCTTCCTGGCTGAAATAGGGCAATGAGCGCGTTTCTTCTGAGAACAGTGCGTGCGGTTGAGCATGGAAATTTCTGTTGAAGCATGCACGAATCACTATATGGCCTCTGTTTATCACTATTCCTCTGCTTCTTTTTCTTCTTCTTCAAAGCCTTTGCACGATTTGCTAAGGCCACCAGCGTTCTCAAGGAGGCCTGGATGAGGCTGCTTGAGAACCTGGTACACTCGGATAACAGTGCACGGCCGAGACCTTTGTGGCGTTGTGGCGAGAGTAGCCTTGAACTAGGTACCGTAAGCAGGGAATTTTGTTTGTAATATGGACGGAACCTACGGTCCACGCAACACGGATTAGTCCAATAGGAATTAAGGTTGGGAGATTGACGGAGGAGGCATGTATGCATTGGAAAGTGCGAAGAGAACCCTAGCTTTGCATAGTACCCTGTACACGTAATACATGCGGCGAAAGTCAGACTGTAGGTGTAGATAGTGTGTCGAGAATTGCGAACTTACGTGGACTGACTATCTGTTGCCCGTTGAGGGGCCGGCATGTAACTGATTCTCACATAGCTCGACATAACATCTATATGACAGGCCGGTGGTAGCCGTAGTCGCTCGGGGGAGTGCCCGTTAGGGAAGGAGTGCCGTGCTAGCTAGTTCGCCAGCTCGACGGACAGTATATAGGAGGACAAGGCCGTATCGGTCCTCTACAAGGCGGAAACGAAGACGGTGGGGCCGCAAGGCGGGGTCATGAGGTTAGCCCGCTGAGGCTGAAACTCGTTGGGGATTGTGCGGACGCCGCTTTGTAATGAAGAGCTTTCGATGCGCGTACGAAAGGCAGTTGGCCACTGTTTTCCACTATTCTTCTTCAATCCTGATCGGAAATGGGGCGAAATTGTGCTCTTCGAGAACTTTTCTGGCAGTTTTTTCGGAATTTCAATGATTCTTCTCAGGCGTGGCAGCAGTGCACTTGGGCGGAGACGAATGACTAAAACAAATGGTCGTTACGGCTGCATTTTTCCCAACTTTCAGTCCAGGTACAGCGATGATGGCCGTAGGTTCTATTCTATTCGGGGGAAGACGGGGTAGCCGTAGCAATATTTTTAGATCTGAGCGATGATCCTCCGCCAAGATCCTTCGTCCGTCTTGATGGCTGACAAGCAATTGCTACAATTTTCACTTCTTTTGTGAAACGGCCTCCGCGCTTAGCAACCATCGCCGAACTGACATACAGCCAACTAATTCTTATTTAGTTAAGAATTATCTGGCTGACATACAGCCAACTAATTCTTATTTAGTTAAGAATTATCTGGGTATATTTGGATCTGAACTCAGGTCTGCATTTGAACATCTGATGGAGGTAATTCTTACTATTTTATCAGTCGTCTACTTCATTCAGTAGTGGGTTCGAACTCGTGTCCGCATTTCGAAAGCTGATGGGTGCGCCAACCTGGTAGCTAGACCCGTTGGTCGCTTTCGAATTCAGTTTTTTCCCCCCCCCCCTGTTTTCGTTTGCTTGAATTCCTAACTTTGAAAATCTGGAAAGGTGTGGAATATTTGAGAATTTGCAATCGTCAATACTAATCCTGGCATCATCGTCCTGCTCTCCTACCGTCTTTCCCTTTGACACAATGTACATCCCCCCCACATCACAGGACTCTGTTTATGTATTGGACCGGAAAGATGGCTCGTGTACGTTGTTTTTTGTAGAACGGAGTGGGAATTTCAGTCCTGATGCATTCGTTTCATAGCTCCCCCAAAACAACGACGTACCTGCTTCATGACTGTATCAGACTGGAAAGATCATCTCTATACATTCACGAGGGTATGATGTTGTAATTGGGGGCCTCGTCTGTCCCCGCCTTTAGCAGCGTACATAGGCAATGATTGTGCATGCCGTTTTCACCGCCGGTCATTATCGCCGCCATATTTGGGAAAACTTTGTCTAGATACACCCTGAATGATCGGGGACTGTATGGAGTAGTACGCAGCTCCTGCCAAGTCTGTATGCTATCCTCACGCACGATCCTGGGGGGCTGTATTCGAGTAGTACGCATCTCTTGCCAAGTCAGTATGCTATCCTCGTGCACGACCCTGGGGGGCTGTATTCGAGTAGTACGCACTTCCTGCCAAGTCTGTATGAGATCCTCGTGCACGGTCCTGACTTTCCAAAGCAAAGAAAAAGACAGAAAAAACCGGAAAAAAAAAAGACTGGGAGTACGAGCGGTGCATCTGGCTATCTGATGTCGAGGAGCGAAGTTTGCAGTCAGCTAGCTTATTCTGAAATTTCCAACCAAAAAAAACTCAAGAAATTAGTGTAGGAGCGAAGTTTGCAGTCAGCTAGCTTATTCTGAAATTTCCAACCAAAAAAAACTCAAGAAATTAGTGTACGGACTGGGTTACTAGCTGGGCGGCCTGGG